GGAGAAAGATGTGCACCGGTGTCGTGGAACTAGCCAGCCGTTAAGAAAACTGGAGAGACCGCCTAACGGAAACCTTTCCCGGCGCAGCCTTTGGCGGCGATGGTTAGAGATAATAGCTGCGTTAACCCTGAGAAGGAAAAGCCGCCTTCTGGTGGAACTCTGGGACGCATTCGCTCCGTTTTACTAGCAGTAATCCAGATAGGCTTTGCCGCCTTCGGGAAGATCTTTTGCTACGCAAGCCATGGATTTCCACGAGGTCCTCCACCCATGTGCTAACAAGGCCCGGTGCTGCTTAGCTTTCTCGAGTTGTGCTGAATGCTAGGACCCCAAACAGGACTACCAGTTGTTGTAGTAAAGATCTTGCCATGGGAAAAGATAAGATCAGTTGGTTGGAAGCGGCCGCTAGGTGAAAACTCCAGTGCTCACAATTCGGATCCAAATTATGACTAAAGGGCCCCAGTTCCTGACCGCAGAATTCTAGTAGAGACGTTCATTCAAAACTCTAAATAGATGTTAAGTCTAAAGCACAGAAGTAAATCCTTCTGCTTTCGACTCCCAATGAAACAATTGCTGCGCGGATAACGCGGCCAACGTCCTCTCCTCTCCTTCCTCGCCCTTTCCACATGATTGCTGCCTCCTCTCGGGCTTTATCCTTCCAGGTGCAGTCTTGCGCTCTTCTAGTTCTCATGCTATGGAGAGTCGGTGGACTGGTTCTGGCCTGGCTTCCCGGGCACAAAATCATAAAAATATCGGAGGAAGTGTTGGGTGCCTCTTGAAGGGAGGGGGGAGGAAAATATGATTCTTCCCTTTCCTCTATTTTCCCTCTGCTCAATTCCCAAAGGGGCTGTTTTCCTGACACTTTTTGCAAGGAAAGCTTTTAGAAAAGTTTTTCATGTTTTGGTCTGCCTTTAGAGTTTTGCAGCTAACAATTCTATCGTTTTCGATTATAAATTGGAGTAGAAGTACGTGGAGACAACAAGATTACCCGTTTATAATTTCCTTTGGCACAGCACCGTTTTTCTGCTGTACAGTTGGGGTGGGTTTTAATTAAAGAGACCATATTGCTATGCTGCCAAAAGGCCTCCCACCAAATAGAAGCCAGATCGGGTCATTCCCAGATTTCTCTCCATTGCTTTCCATTGCAAAGGTCTTCTTGTGCAACTTAGAGGTCTGCCAAAGCAATCCGCCTTCACTCTGACAAGGGATCATTGGCAGACCCCTGAGGCAGGAGGGTCGCTTAAAAAGATAAGCCAGCTTGCCAATCACGGCAGAAATAATTAAGCCAATTAAGTCAATACAAACAGAATCAAGATGGGAGAGAGATGCGACTCTTCTGCGGAGCGAGAAAGGAGAGAGAGAGAAAGGTGCCTGGATCGCTCGCAGGCGTCCCACCCCTAGGCCGCTCGCTGAAAATTCGCGGGGGAGGGATTTGGAAACGGCCACCGAACCTGTAAGTGGAGGCGGATTCGCTGCCGGTAGAAGAATAGTAGACCGTTTGCCGGCGGAGACTTGGAGAGGCCCCTTGTTCACCACGTGGAGGAAACCTCGGTGACCAAGCCTCCAAGTGAAGGGGAGCAGATACTCTAGCCGTTTTCTTCTGCCTCGGCCCTCCGCCCCGCTGCCCTTCGCGGGGGCGAGAAAAATAACACCCTTTTTGTTTTTCTAGTTTGAGCTTGTACCGTAGTTTCCTATCGGGACAAGAAATGAATCAACCTTCCGCGATTATCATCTTAATTGTCCGCCCAAAAGAAAAAAAACACAGCTACTTTCTCTGTTTAAAAAAAAGAGAGAACATTTAAAATTCATACACAGATGTATGTTGTGTGTGTATCTTATTCCTCATCAGATCTAAAATACACTTCTGTTAATGTAAGCAGGGATTTATTGTTAAGTGCAAAACAGGCAAATCCCAGTCCAACTTTCCCGACTGTTTTTTCAATGCAGTCCCAGCTTTCTGGGATGGGACCGTGGGCTTTGTAATGATTTGATGTGCAGATGTAAGTGAGATTTATTATAACAACAAATATAGGGATGTCAAAGCCAACTCTGGATTAAAGCCGGCAGCCAGAGGGGGGAAGTATATTAATTTCAAACAGCATCAGAGGCCAGTGTCTATTAACGCAAGCTATTCTTCAGGCCCCCCCATCAGAATTAATCATTGGGAGTTAATTTGAAGCGCAGACAAGTTGCTGTTAATTTAGTGCAGGGAGGCTGGGATGGAATAAAAAGCGGAGGTGCCGACCAAGCCTCTTGGGTCTCATTAATCAGCGAGCTGAGACGGCCTGGCTTGATTACAATTTGCAAAAAAATTCATTAGGGTCTGGGCGATTGACAATTTTTCTCTCTCCCTGTGATCTGACTCATTAGGCAGCCAAATGAAAGCTGCAATGGTGAATGGTGGCATCTATCAGCCCACCCCCCTCGCTTGTTTATCTTCTTGGCTCCCGCCCTGGCCTCGGGGGTCCCGCTTAGGGCTTTTCCTGACCCTGCGGGAAGCGACCATTTCCCCTCCTGCTCCGTTCAAATTATAGTGTGAGAAGAAGAAATCGACCATCCACCAGGTGTGCACGCGCTTGGGCCCTTTCCCTCCCGCCGGATGTCTCTCTGTTCCCTCTCGCACAGAAAACCGTGGCGGACAGGGACCCCTATATGGACACTGTTTGCAGACGAGCAAACAGCAAAGGCTCTAACCAGAAGGCAGCTGAGAAATCATAGGAAAGGTTTTGCGAGCTCCCGGCTTCCTTCCCTCTTTAACTTTTTGGAAGATGTTGAAACTGCCCTTTTCTGCTCAAATGGGACTCTTCAGCCAGAGGAGGAGGAGGCTTTTAGATCTGTTAGCATTAGAGTGGAGCAGGTTCTCCGAGCCTTGAGGGGGGGGGAGCAGGCACACCGGAAGGTGGGCCCACAGTCCGAAGAGGACCCTCTTTAACGTGTTCAAGAGAAACGGTCCTTATATCGGGCAATCAAAAGCAATTCTCCTTTTCTTCGAAATCTGGAAAGCAGCATCGCCTAAAAGCGAGCAGAACCGGCGGCTGACTGAGCCACGCTGCTTGTTCCGATTTTGTACGTCGTCAGGCCCATCAGACGCAGGCACCCCGGAGTACTGGTGCAGACCCCGCGGCAATCTGAGACATCCCAGATCTTCCCAGTCACGTTGATGGGTATATTTGTTTCTGTTTCCCCAAGTGAATGGGTGGGGTTGAAAGGGTTTTTCAAACTTGTTCGCTGCCAGTTGTTAATTGGCAGGCAAGCGGCAGAAACTCTTCGGGGTCGCCTCCTGCCTCCCACAGGTTTGACTTGGTCAGGGAATCGCCTTTCTCCTCTTGCCTCTTCTACACAAGTATACCGTCCAGCCCTAGACTATTTTAGCCGGTAATTTTCGTAGCTAGAGAAGAGCGGAAAAAAGAGTTGGACACACCTATTTGCAGAAGTTGGCCTGCATATTGGCTTGCATATTTTTACTGGGTAAAAAGCAACGGAGGCAACACTGTTTCGAGGTGGTGATGGCGGTGGGACCCAGACCGCATTCAACTTTTTGTGGCAATCTGCGTTGAAGCTTCTACAGAAAATCCTTCTCCTCCTTTTTTTACTTTCCTACGGTTGCAGCAACGTCGGAACCAGGCGTTTGGATCTAGATTGTGAGAAGCCCTCACAATCGGTTTGTTCTGCCCCCTTCCCTTCCTTTCCCTTCTTGTTTCCAACGATCTTGTTCTCGTCCGGAATTAATCCGGAAAGGTAGAATTGCTGGCACGTTGAGCTGGCTTGGTCAAACCTATACCAAGAAAGAAAAAAACTCAGCAGGAGCCTTTCCTTTTCCGTCAAGAAATGGAGGGTCTCCCCTCTGACCTGAACATCTCCCTAGCGCAGACCACCAAACACTAAGACCAGGACACCCAGTGCTTCTCCCGTCTTGCCAAGAGAGGTAGGGTCATCACCTGCTACTCTACCAGGGCCCAAACTGGTGATCCTGGTGCATGGCAACCCCTCAGTTAAGCTTTCGGGTACTGTTTGCAGCTATTCTGAGCAACATCAGACAGGTTTCTTCATCAGGCGCTCACCCTCTTATTGCCCATCCACCCACCCCCGTCCTCAGCTGAACCCGTCGCCTCTTTAAAAGAGGAACGGGGCTGTGGACGGGATCGGCACCAAAGAGGAAAGTGCCGATGAAGTTCCACAATCCTGAGTTTTCGGAACTTAGAACTTCATACAGAAGAGCTGCTCAGTCTTGTCTATTTTTGTTTTTCTCGTTTGGGCATTTTATTCACAACATCATTATGTTTTGTTTCATTTGCATAACTTAAAAAAGTAAACTACATTTGAAATAAATTAATTCAACACAATAGAAAAAACTCGTGCATTTAAAGAAAAGAGTGGGGAGGAGAAACGTGACTTAGAATAAGGGGATAAAAAACAGAGGTGCACCGGAAGAATATCTCATTTGCTTCTCCATCGCTCCCCCCTTGAAAAAATGAAGAGGAGAAGTAGGAGGGTGGACCGGAAAGGAAAGAAAAGGAAGAAGAAGAAGCTGTACAAGTTAAAATGGTAGTTTTCTTCTTCTTTCATTTAAAGGAATTGGGGAAGGAGAATAACAGTGGGAGAAGAGATGTTGAAATTTTTGACAATAAAATGTACTTTTGGAATGTCAGACTTCACCTCACTGCTCATTGGTCTCGTCACAGTCAAAATACAGCAGCTGAGATCCAGCGCTTTATATATAAAATTGGACATTTTCATAAATATGTAAATAGTTCCTCCAAGTCTTTTGATATTCCCTCTGGAAAAATGACACGAGTTTTCTGATGGATGGTTTATAAATGTACTTCAGCGTGGCCTAATTAGTTTGGTTAGTGGTTCCTTCACTTGGTGAGTGAAAAATTCTCTTTTATGCCCCAATTTGGGGAGGGGGGCGGGCGGACGGGGAGGAGAGATGATTGTGCGCGTGAGGACAGGAAAAGATCGGTGCCGGGGGGGGGGGTAACCTCGGTCAGATTTGTCCCCGCTCACGGCCTGGCCTGCTCCAGTTGTTGGTGCTGGCTCCGGATTGCGAACCGGCTAACGTGCACTGGGATAGGCACCACAATCTTGGGGTTTCGGGACGGCTCCCCGGTCTTAGAATTGGCATTCCCCGCCTTCACCCGTTTCCACTTGGCCCTCCTGTTTTGGAACCAGATTTTGACCTGCACTTCGCTGAGTTTGAGGGCGTGCGCAATCTGGGATCGCTCGGTCAAAGAAAGGTATTTCTTGCAGTGGAATTCCTTTTCTAGTTCCAGCAGCTGCTCGCTGGTGAAGGCAGTTCGCCGGCGGCGGTTTTTTCCCGTTGAAGTGGTACTGTTTGGGTTCGCCGAGTTCTGACTGCTCTCCTCCAGGCCGTTGCCAGTATCGTCTTCCTTGTGCGCCGATTGGCCCGGCAGATTATCGTCGGAGCTATAATCGAGATCGCTGTCCAGCGAGAAACTTTCCTCTTTGCCTTTCGAATCGTCCTCCGCTTTGGCGTCTTCTTTTCCTGAGGCTGCTCGTGTGGTGCCTGGAGGAAAGCCAAAAACAGCATCTGTTTATATGTTTCACCAAGATTTTTGCCAGCATCCCCAAGAACAGCCTCCTCCTCCTCCTCCTCCTCCTCCTCCTCCTCCTCCTCCTCCTCC